TCGAATAAAATGGTCGACATAATTCCTGATAGGTGTCTTCTTTTCTCTTATAGGTTTTCAGTTTTCTTGATTATGCAAATGCACATTGTTTCTTGCAATTTTATTATTTGAAGTGAAACCGGAATAGTTCTAACTTGTTTGCACACGTGGGCTCCTCCATGCCTAGGTTGAATGACACTATTGCCATCAATCATATTATCGCCTATGGTACCAGATATCGACATGAGTGAAGGGGTGAATGGGAGGTTCAACAAGTACTTTGAAAAGGCAGGGTTTTCTGAAGTAGAATAGAGTAAGCAAACCAATCATTGAACATAATAGAGAGTAAACTAAACTAAGCAGAGAGATAACTTAGAGAAACAACTAAGGAAACCAAGGTAAATCTAAGTAGCAGTGCATATGGAAGACAACATAGCATAGGCATTGGAATAACCGAGTTCCTGAAATATTTTTTTAGCATTCATAGAGAAAGAAGACGAGAGGGGACTAACAAACACATGCAAATTACGAAGGTAAATGAGTTTGAGAAAGTAAAACCCGTAACTTTATGAAGACAGAGATTTGTACAACTAGTTCAAGTTACTCGCACAACTCTACGTTTGGTTCGAAGGGCCGAGATTTAACTCAGAGGACAATGTCCTCACCATATTCCCGTTGAGCTAAATTCACTTGGACTTCACCCAGTCACTCGTGGTAGATCTTCAGGTAGATCTCCAGGACCTTCATAGACTTGGTCTTTGGTCATGCATAATTACTCTCGGAGACTCAAAACTGACACATAGCCATCTAGTGGATGCACGGTCCACAAGAGTAATAGGTTAAGTTACGTTTCAGCTAGATCTTTGGTGATGCTCAATCACTTAGTAGTCTTAGGCTCTGGGTTTTTTCCTCTCTTAGCATTTCTCTCAATGTCTTTCGAGAGGATGGGTTGCTCTGACAACTCTTGCCAATTCTCTCTGGAGCAGCCAACCATCTAATGTTGAAGTTGGGTGGCTATTTATAGAGGGAGCAATCCCGAGGTGTGAAATGATGACCAATAGTGACACTGGCCACCTAATGGGCAACTGGCACATGGCACAACGGTCATATTTCAAACACGACCTATGACTTCCTTGTGGAACATGTCAAGTTGACTCAATTGTACTTGATTCTTCCTCAGAGTCCTGAAGAACATCGTCTCGGACTCGGATAGACAACCACAACGCACAAGAGATTTTCAAGTCTTCACTCGAAGTAGGTTTTGATTGAGCATGCATCAGAGACATAAATCTGAACAATCACTTAGACCCTCTTAATAGCATGTTTCCCCTATGACTCAGAAAGAGAGAAATAAAACTAGAAAACATAAGTATTCACTACACTTCATAATCTCTATGCTATCTGGTTGTTCCTTGAACAGGCATTCCGAAAGACTTCATTGTCACCGTAATTGTTAGGGATCATAACTCTTATGTTAAACCAAATCCTCTAGGACATCTCTCCAGACCTCAACATCACACTGGATTCCCAAAGGAAATACATACCCTACAAATACTATGCATAAGGCATCACCGGGCTCCTCCATCTTATCCCCGGCCAGAACCGCCAGAGGATAGGATCTGCAACAGATCTGGGTCTGAACTCTCTCAAACAACTCTCAATGATGCTAGAAGGGGAAATGATGAGGGGGAGTGTTGGGGATATAACTATTAGGTATGACCCACCCAGGAGGGGTCGGGTCATCCCTATAATGACCCATCTCAATGAAGCCCAAGAGCATGTGGCGGTTCATAGATAGGCTTCATAGAGGGCCCAGACCCGAAGGCAGCTTAAGGCCCATGATTATAAACCGCCATGTATGTAAACTTGTATTGTAAGGTATATGAGAAAGGTCACCGAGCCGGATACGTTGTATAAACCGGCCGGGACTCTGAGGGCCGCAGGGCGTCAACCCATGTATATAAGGGGACGACCTAGCGGCGGCTTAGGACAAGAGACAACAGATCGAGAGCTGGGTCAAGCGTATTCGCTCCCTGCTCATCGAAACCCTAGCAATATCAACTACAAAACTAGATTAGGCTTTTACCTTCATCGTAAGGGGCTGAACCAGTATAAACTCCTCGTGTCCTTTGTCCCGATTAACCTCTTTAAGCTAACCTCAACGTGATGGCTCCATGACTAAGTCCTTACACTAGGACATCTGCCGTGACAATTCCACGACAGGGGGTCCCCCAACACAACGACATTGGTTGTTTATTGTTAAAAGAAAAAGGTCAAAAACTTGAGGTAAGATATTCAACATCTTATCTTCAAATGTATTCATGCTCGAGAACTATGGAGCCGAGTAGGTATTTTAGATCTCATTTATTTGGCGATCCCGGTTGACAGGTTCGGCTCGGTAATTTTTGAACATGCTCTTTCCTTGCCTGTTGGACAACTGAGTTTATCCCCAAGTCTGAATGCCAAACAAGTTCTAGCTGTTGGGAGCTGGTATCTTTGGTGGA